TGGGCTAAGAGGGCTAAGAAAAAGAATGATGGCCTCTGTCAGTTCTTTTGTCTGAAAGAAAGCTGCTTCCCCAGATCTCACCCTAATGCCAGACACTTCAGTTCCTCCCCATATGTCCCTGGTACATTTTGAGCTGCTATCTCAGTGATGAAGCTCAGAAAGAGTGAGTCAGAGTATGTCCATGTGTGGGCCCTTTACATGGAAATCCCTGTGCCTCCAGAAGCCCTCTGCCTTACTCAGCCTCAATTCCCATTGATTTTTACAGCCAGAAGTTATGGGGACTTTTCTTCCCAGCACTGAAACCCTGGTCTTGGGCCCTCAGGAGCAACCTCTACAGCAGAGATATCCCCCATGATTTTTATCCATCACATGTGGGTGTGGGACGAGCTTCCTCTGTGTCTCTATCCCTCCTACCATTCTTGACGTGGCTTCTTTTTTAAATGCCTAGTTGTAGGACTTCTGTTCAGCTAGATTTGAGGTGGTTCTGAATGATGGTTGTTCTGTAGTTACAGTTTTGATATGGTTGTGGGAAGATATGAGTACTATGCTTATCTACACTGCCATCTTGATCAGAAGTCAGAAACCATTTTTTGTTTTTAAAGTAGAGACTTAGGATGGACCTGGAGATTATTATGCTAAGTGAAATAAGCTAGTCAGTGAAAGACAAACACCATATGACATCACTTATGTGTGTAATCCAATGAACAAAATAAACTAGTGAACAAAACAGAAACAGAGGTTGGATACGTGGAACAGGCTGACAGCTGTCAGAGGAAAGAGGGGAGGGAGGGACTGGATATAAGAAGGTAAAGGGATTAGCCCCAAATCATATATGTATAACCCATAAACAAGAGAAAATATTGTGGTGACAGCCTGAGGGAGGGAATGGGGGCTGAGTGGAGGTGGGCAAAGGGGGAAAAATGGGAATAACTGTAATAGTGTAAACAATAAAAACAAAGTTAAAAAATAAAAGTGTAGATTTATTGGGTTATATAAAATTAAAGTTTTTATACAGATATAATGTCATAAAGTGAATTAAAGGAGCAAAGTTATCAATGCAATCGATGTATAAACATTTAATAACATTAATCAAAAATTGATGTTTTCATAAATGAGATTTGAAAGGGACTTCATTAACTTAATAAAGACCACAACCTACAGCAAATAGCGTGATAATCATTACTGACCAAGACAAGAATGCTTTTCTTCTTGACTTTATACCATAGTTTGAGAGGCACCGCACAAACAAGGAAAAAAAAAAAGGTCTTACTATTGGGACAAGAAAAATGTATGCACAGAAACTTTTATTTATAGTTTAATAACTATTAATAACTGTTGTTAAATAACGATAGACAAATAGCGGTCTGCAAGGTTTCCAGGTACATGAACTTACATAAATAATTATCAATATCCTTCCTTTACATGAGTATCAATGAAACAATGAAAGGGAACACTAAAGCCCTAATGAAAGGACTGAATAAACTGGGAGATCTCATGGATAAAAGTCCCGTTCTCTGGCTCTTTAGAGCCTGGGTAGGAGGCCCTAACCCTAGCCCCGCCTCTAGCTCTGGTCTACCTCAGCCCCGCCCCTCGACCAGGCCCCACCTCTTTGAATATTCATAATCCCGCCCCACAGGTCTAGTCAACCAAGCCTCACCCCACTGACCTGGTCCCGCCCCACCTCCGTCCAACCCGAGCTCCTGGGCTAATCCTGCCCCAGGAACCAACAGCGTCTCTCCTGGGAGGAAATTTCAGTCTAGGCTGGAAGCGCTGCCGCCCTGCTCACCGGCCCCTCCCGGTCCCTACGCCTCTCCTATCACTATTTCTCGGCTTCTGAGGTCCCGCCCCTTTCGCTGGGCGCGGCGCAACAACCGGAAGCTAGAGTGTACTTTTGCGCGTGCGCGAGCCGTGGGCACGGTCCTCTCGTACTCTCACGCCCGTCTGAGGTCAACTTTCACCTGTGTCCGCAGCCTACCGGGCTTCGGTCCGGCCTGTCCCAGGTCCCCGTGCACTGGAGGCGGAGAGCTCGGCCTTGGGGAGGCCAACGATCTAAAAGTGGCCGCCGCCGGGACCCCGTGCCCGAGGCCTCTCACGCCGCGGCGTTTCCTTGGAGCTCTGGCCCGCGGCGCCCGTGACGGTTGCTCGTCCCAAATTCACTGAATCGGAAACTCTGGGCTGGGTCCAGCAGTCGGAGTGAGAGCAGAGTAGGGTTGGAGAACCACCCTCGTATCTAATTCACCTCCCAAAGCGTCCTTTGCTCTCTTTCCAAAAAGGAAAATCATCCCAGCAATTCGGGTCACGGAGACGAGAGCCTCATCTCGTCCCTACGCTGATCTGTGGATTTCGGCGTGTTTGGTGAGCACGGGCTGACGTTTGTCTGAACTACGTCCCCACCTCTTTCCTCCCGGTGCAACAGATACTATTTAACCTCAGTTTTACCCTGCTGTGGCCATCCGTTTGCTACTTTATATTCAGGTGCATAAAAGTGAATGTCTTTGTAACCCTCTTCACGAATCACAGCTATACATTTTAATCATTTGACTGTAGGTTTTTTTTTTTTTTTGAATGTCACATGTAAAGTGTGATCATCTGCTAGTTTCAGTGTTTTTTCCCTTGTACCTCGTTTTCCGTTTTACTTTAGTCCACTTGCCAGGGCCTCCATCCAGTTCAATGTAGAATAGCATAGAATTGGTGTCTTTGCCTTCTTGATCCCAGAGGGAATTATGCTGCCACTTCACCACTAAATAGGATGTTTACTGTAGGTGTTTGTAGATTTTTTTTCTCCTAAAACATGTTCCCTTCTAGTTCTCGTGGGTTAAATTGTTATCACCAATGGACATTACTATAGGTCAGTCACTAGTTTGTTTCTAAGGGGATAAGTCATATGATCTTTTTCTGTTAAAGTGATGAATTATATTAATCGATGATTCTATTTTCAATCACATTTTATTGTTAGGATGAAATGAACTCGGTTTGTGATTATTCACTTTTTGACTGAACTAATATTATGTTATTTGCACTAATGTGTATGAGATTTTTTTTTTTCTCCCCGAGTTGTACTTTTCTGGTCTTGAAAACACCCGGGAGAACAGTTTTTCTGTCCCTACAATTAAGATTTTTTTCCTTATTTAGTGAGCCTGCCGGTAAAACAGTTTGTTACTTCTGTTTCCTTTGTGGATATGTTTTAAACTGCTTATTTTTTTCTTTAGATACTGGATATAATCAAGTGCTGTATTTTTTTTAGATCATTGCTGGAAAGTTTTACTTCTTTCTCTCGAAGTTCATTCATTACCTGTACATTTTCATATCTATTTCCTTAATTTTTTTTTGTTTTAGCCTCCCTGTAACATCTGTAATTATGATTCATTCATAACTCCTTTTGTCTGTGCTCTGTTGTTCTTAAGGAAAATGGCTATGGGTTTGTCAACTTCATTAGTTTGTAAAGGACTCATTATTAGCTTTTCTGATTCTGTTTATTAGTGTTTTTAAGTATCATTAATTGTGCCGTGTTTTCACTTTTCTTTCTAACCCTTTATGCTGTTCTTTTCCCAACCTTATAAGTCAGTGGTTAGCCCATTGATATTATTTCTTCTCTGGGAATTGATGATACTTATAAGCTTATAAATAAATATACATATATACCACACCAGCTATGGATTTCCAGTATTATCTGAAATAGTTATTTTAATTTTATGCTTCTGTTCTGCCACATGAGTGGTCTTCACCTGCTAAATATAAATATGTGTGCCTGTTCTTATCCCTGTAATGTGCTGTATTTTTATGTAGTATATACCACCACCTGATCTTTTGTTAATTTATTGCCTTTCCACAAAAAATTATGGAGTCCAGGATTTTTCTCTTTTTTTCAGTGATGTATCCTCTGTGACTGCATGTAGCAGGATCAAGGGAAATATTAGCAAAACGAATATGAAATGAAGGACCAGGTGGTAAGGGCCTTAAAGAAGTATCCTTGTACAAGACATAGGTCTTAGTCAAAAGAAGGAGCTCAAAAATAAAACATTTGAATAGAATACTTCACTTGTTTGCTCTGCGTAGTGTGCCCAACAGAGTTCTAGGCCAGATACTGGTAATGTTAGGGAGTAAGGGCCTCACTAACAACTAAGTTGTAAGGTATATGTTCAGAAATATACTCATTGGGCATTTCGATTTTGAAGATAGACCTACATACACACCCTGACAGAACAGTTTTCTAATTGTGTAATATTGAGTGTGTGATTAATTCACTCTAAGTTTTCTCAACTATAAATTAGTTGTAATATATCTGATTTGTAGAGTTTGTATGAAAAATGAATAATTTCTTTGCAGAGGTATGGGCATCTCTTTGCAAAGTCATTCTCACATCATTGTTGCTTAGCGGAAAGTGTTACTAATATAGTAAAGAATATCACAATTTTTATTGGCATTAAAGTATACACGGGATCCACTGCAGTGGAAGAAACAGTTGTGTTTTCATTATTTGAAATTTGTGCAAAACACTGTAGTTATTACTATCAGAGATGACACACATTGCTAATTTAAGTATACTTTTTTGACTGCTTCTGTACAGTGTGGCAGTCTTGTCTGCCTCCTGTGTGTGGATATGAGTTAGCCGATGCTCTTTCTCAAAAACCAGGTTTCAGGAACCCTACAGCCCATGGGCAGAGGGTCCAGTGCTAAAGGGCTGGGCAGTAATGCCTGTTAGCCTGTCAAGGGTTGCAGAAGTAAGAAATATTGGGAACGGAGCACCGAGGACTCTGGTATATAAGCCAGTGCTTTCTTGGATTTGAGACAGGGTGTATATTCTTATACATCCTTAAGGTTGAAGGTATTGCCCAATACTTTTTATGCTTTTCATTGTCATGGGCAAATAGACAGCTGAGCTTTTAGACTTTAGTTAACTTATTTGTAAAAGGGGACTTTTAACCTTTTTTAAAAAAGAACTCGATCAACAAGAACCAGAGCATAGTTTTTTAGCTCTCAATGAGGCAAGACTGCTCCACTTTCTTAAAAGATCAGTGTGTGTGTGCTTGGGTGTCTTGGGCTTATGCATGTGCACGTGCGTGTGTGTGTTGAGGGGAGTGGTCACCATAATGTGCTGCAGCAGCCAGCTCTTAAGTGTGCACATTATGGGGAGACCTAGATTATCAGCTCATCTTTCTCCTGCCTCAGCTGTAGCTTCTCAATACTTTGCCTTTCCTCATGAAGGGAACACGGACGAAGAAAGAAGAGCTTCTGAGTTACAGAAAGACATGACACAGGTAGGTAAGAGCTAATGCTTCTCCAAAAGAATATTCCCATTTCACCAGTTCATTGATCTAATTGTTTAGAGCAGGATCAGCAACACGTTTGTGTGTTGGGCCACATAGTACGTATACTAGGCTTTGAAGGCCAGAGTTTTTGTTGGAACTCAACTCTGTCATTGTAGTGTGAAAGCAGCCATAGACATTGTGTACAATATGTACACGTTTTACTGTGTTCCAATAAAACTTGACTTACACAAACAGGTAGTAGGCTGGATTTGCCATAGTTTGCTGACCCCTGGCCTAGAATATAAGCAAATGTGGACAGCTGGGGGCCTGGGTTGAAAGTTGTGCCTCTGCAGGCTCCTGGGTTTATTTAAAAATGAAAAGCTTCCTTTCCCTCAGTGCATTTTTATTCATTAAAATCTCATCCAGATTTGCCCCAGTGTTTCATGTTGTGCCACTTGCTATAGGGGGAGAGAAGGAAGCAGGTGAAATTGTTTCTGTAACAAGGAATCGTTGGTGTCAGTGTGGAGATTCTCTAAGTCCTTGCTTTGCATTATTGATAGGTTCTGTGACTTTAAGCAGAACAGCAGATAATGAAACTAGTTTCACTCTAGGCTAATCGATATAAACAAGAGTTCTCACAGCATCTCATCAACATTATAGCAAAATGAAGTCATTTGAGGACCTGCTGTAGTTCATTTCTAGAGCATTTTTCTCATTTTTGCTATATGTTCTGGACTGTTCTGGATCATTATAGGACTGGAATTATTTACCATCCAACTGTGGAGCAATAAATTGAGCGTTTTAGAAGCGTTAAGACTAGGGGACAGGATTTGATTCCTCAGAAAGGATGTGGGGAGAAAGATACCTGGCTGAGTCCCAGGGTCAATGATAGGAGGCCATAAAGTCTTTAGAACTTCCTACAAACGGATTCGCAGTTCCCACGCATTTTCAGCATTGTGCATCCTCCCGAACACATGCAGGAGTTGGTACCTTTCTGAACAGAATATGTGGGATGTTTCAGGACGTGGTGGTCTTTGAGGATGTTGCTGTGGACTTTAGCCAGGAGGAGTGGGCTTTGCTGGATCATGCTCAGAGGAGCCTCTACAGAGAGGTGATGCTGGAGAACTTCCAGAACCTGGCCTCACTAGGTAAGAATGGGCAATGTTCTTTTATTTAGTTGTTTAGAAAACAAATCTGACAAATCAACCCTATTCCTTATTCCAGGATTCGGGCTGAGGAATTGGAATACATTGGTAAACAAGACAGAAGTGGCCGCTGACCCCAAGCAACTTACAGTCTGGTGGCTTCACCATGAAAATTAATATCTGTGTTGAACTGACTTTTTATTGTGGTTGAAAACCTCAGGCTTATTAACTGTTGAAAGTGTGGGCATAGACTTCGGGCATCACTTAGGGGCACAGGGTGGTTTGGAACCTTTTGAGAATTTTGCTGACATCAGTGCCATTTACCCAAAGACCATCAGGAACGCACCTAAAGTTAAACAGGCTGGGTCTGTTACTCAGTGCTGTGAGGGAGAGCACAAGACATAGGGAGCTGTGGGGTGTCTTAGTCAGAGGGCGTTAGAAAGTACATACTATAGGATTTGAACTTGGGTTGAGTGATTTGGGGATTGGTCTGTGGAAGCAGGCTGTAATTCTTTCCTAGGCCTTTTGTAACAAAGTACTACAAACTGGGTGACTAAAAACAAAAGAAATGTATTCTTTCACATTTCTGGAGCTAGAAGTCCAAAATCAAGGTGTCAGCAGGGCCACGCTACTCCCGAAGGCTCTGTGGAAAAAACTCCCACCTGCCTCTTCTTGGCTTCTGGTGGTGGCCAGCAATCCTTGGTATTCCTGCCTTGCAGATGCATCGCTCTCATCTCTCCCTCCATCTTTCCACAGACGTCTCCTGTCTCTTAAGACTCTCCCTCTTTATAAGGACACTAGTCATTGGATTTAGGGCTCGCCCTAATCAAGTATGATTTCAGCTTACCTTGATTACATCTGCAATGACCCTATTTCCAAATAAGGCGACATTCTGAGGTTCTAAGTGGATGTGAAATTTTTAAAATAATATATTTATTTTTAGAACAGTTTTAGATTTATAACAAAATGGAATGAAAAGTACAGAGATTTCCGTACACTCCTTTACCCTACGCATGCCCAGCCTCCCCTGCTGTCAACATCCCAGCACAGTGGTACATTTGTTGTAACTGAGGAACCTACGTTGACACATCATTATCGCCCGAAGTCCTTACGTTACGTTAGGCGTCACTCTTGGTGGTGAACCTTCTGTGGTTTGGACAAATATATAATGACATATGCCCACTATTATAATATTATACAGAGTATTTTTACTGTCTTAAAGATTGTCTTCGCCATGCTGATTCATCCCTCTTTCCTTTCTAATCCCTGGCAACTATGGGTCTTTTTACTGTGTCCAGTTTTCTCTTTTTGAGAATGTCATGTAGTTGGACTCATACAATACGTAACCTTTTTACATTGGCTTTGTTCACTTAGTAACATGCATTTATAGTTCTTCTATGTCTTTTTGTGGCTTGATTGCTCATTTCTTTTTAACACTGAATATAATATTCCATTGTCGGATGTACCACAGTCTATTTACCCATTCACCTACAGAGGGGCATCTTTACTGCTTCCAAGTTTCAGCAGTTACGAATAAAGCTGCTAGAAATGTATGTGCAAGTTTTGTGTGGACATGTTTTCAACTCCTTTGGATAAATTCCAAAGAGCATGATTGTCTGATCATATGGGAATTGTATGTTTAATGTTATAAAAAACCTCCAGCTTGTCTTCCAAGGTGGCTGTACCATTTTGCATCCCCATGAGCAATGAATGAGCATTCCTGTTTCTCCACATGCTAACCAGCATTTGGTGTTGTCAATGTTCCAGATATTGGCCATTCTCATAGGTGTGTAGTGGTATCTCATTATTTTAATTTGCATCTCCCTGAGGACCTATGGTGTGCAGCATCTTTTCATATGCTTATTTCCCATTTGTGTATCTTTTTTGGTGAAGTGTCTGTTAAGGTCTTTGGCCCATTTTTTAATCGTTTTTTGTGTTTTAAATTTTGAGTTTTAAGAGTTCTTTGTACATTTTGGATAACAGTTCTTTATCAGATATGTCTTTTGTAAATATTTTCTCCCAGTCTGTGGCTTGTCTTTTTATTCTCTTGACATTGTCTATGGCAGAGCAAAAGTTTTTAATTTTAATGAAGTCCAGCTTATCAATTCTTCCTTTGGTAGATTGTGCCTTTGATGTTGTATGTAGCAAGTCCTTGCCAAACCCTAGGTCATCTAGATTTTTCTTTTGTCATCTTTTAAGAGTTTTGTAGTTTTGCATTTTAAATTTAGGTCTCTAATCAATTTTTTGGTGAAAAGTGTAAGGTCTGTGTCTAGATTTATTTTTTGGATGCTAATGTCTAGTTCCAGTCTTCGTTGAAAAGACTATTTTTTTCTCCATTGTATTACCTTTGCTCCTTTGTGAAGGATTAATTGACTCTGTATGTGGCTCTATTTCTGGACTCTTTATTCTGTTTCATTGATCTATTTGGATGGAATTTTGAGGGACACTGTTCAACCCAGTTGGATTGAACCCAGTTGGGTAAATTGGGGGAAATTCAATTAATGGGGATTTTATAGGTGGCATAGTGACTTTCCTTTTTGTCTGTCCTTCAACTAAATTATGAAGTGGCCTTATTTCATTTTACTATGCTCTCAGAGTAGCCTTGTATAAAATTGGTATTCCGTGAGATTATGTTTAGCAGGAGAACAAAATGTCCTGACTGTAAGTATCAGACCAACTTCTAATAATATTGAGGATTAGCTATGAGTGTCAGACCAATTCTAGACATCAGAGGCTATGTTGCAACTCCGCCCCTCTTTAAAATATTTTTTTTGACAATTTGTTGCAATTAAATTCAAACTTGCCCATCTTTATAGTATCAGAAGACCAAAGTTCTGCCCTAGTCTCACGGAAATGTTTACGGTCCCTGATTGTTTTCCTTCCTGTGATGCGCCCTCTGCATTACAGGGTACCCCCTGCACACACCCTGTCTGATCGTCCAGTGGGAGCCAGAGGAGGGCCTGCAGGAGATGGCGGGAGGGCCTGTCCGGGGGGAGCATTGGGAAGGCAAGAATTCTGGGGGGAGACTGTCCTGGTTGGGGGATATTACATTTGGAAAAATAAAATAAAAGCGAGATGAAAGTGTTTTGTTTGAGAGGCAGATTTTCCACAGATACCATTGATTACTGTTTTAATGTTTTATTAGTCTTCTCACACTTCCCTTGTTTTTGGGAAAGACTTTCCATGTTTCCTCTTTGTAAACTAGTATTTGGACATGTACATTTTATCCAGTTCCTTTTTGCTTTGTTCCCCTCATAATACCCTATTCATGTCACCATCGGTCTCAATCGTCATGGAATTTTTTCTTGGCCGCTTGCTTACCATTTTGACCCTTGTGGTTATCACCAAAGTCTTGACATAGTCACTCTGCCACAAGCCCTTTGCTCATAGGTACGTTTACCTTTTGTTTCAGGTTTTGAGACTCAACTTAAAAGTAATGAATCAGTCACTTCACAAGATATTTATGGAGAAAAAATATCTGATGAACGGGAAATAGTAAGATTCAAAAGAAATGATTCCTGGTCATCCATTTTATACAAAAACTGGGAACACCATCATGCTGATGATAAGAACAAAAACCACGAGAGACATTTGAGGTGAGTGTCATTCATATAAAACAAAGTAGTACCTGAGAAGAGAATCTTAAATTGTCACAAAATTTAAAAAGCATGTTTATGAAACTTGGTCAAAATTGTGATTTCATAAAGAATTTTCACAAGATTTTTCTTCCACAAATGAGACTGAGATCTTCAGTGTTTGACATGTAATTCAGATGTAAGCAAATATGAGAAAAATCCTATAAGTCAGAAATTCAGTGATAAAAATTGGCTATTATAGAGCCCTCTGCAGGAGCTTTCAGCTTGTAACCCGATAGGGCAAAAAAACACATAGATACAGAAAATGGTAAAAGTGTACTTATGACTAATAATGTGCTTTTTATTTTTAAAAGAAGTCATGCGGTGGAGAACATCCATGGGTGTAATGAAGAAATTCAGTGTGGACAGACCTTCAGCCAAATTTCAAATCTTAATATACTCAAGAGAACTACTGAGGTAAAATCGTATGAATGCCATGAATGTAAAAAAGCATTCACGGATCATTTGTCTCTTATGAATCACATCAGCTCTCACACTGGAAGCAAACCCTATCAGTGTAAGGAATGTGGGAAAGCTTTTCATTTTCTTGCTTGTTTCAAGAAGCATATGAAAACCCCCACTGAAGAGAAACCCTATGAATGTAAGGACTGTACCAAAGCCTTCGGTTGTTCTTCATTCTTTAGGGCACATATGAAGATTCACACTGGAAAGACAAACTATGAATGTAAGGAATGTGGAAAAACCTTCAGCTGTTCTTCATCCCTCACGGAACACAAAAGAATTCATAGTGGGGATAAGCCATACGAATGTAAGGAATGTGGGAAGGCCTTTAGTTGCTCCTCCTCACTTTCCAAACACAAAAGAATTCATAGTGGAGATAAGCCATACGAATGTAAGGAATGTGGGAAGGCCTTTAGTTCTTCCTCTCATCTTATAATACATATAAGAATTCATACTGGCGAGAAGCCCTATGAATGTAAAGAGTGTGGAAAGGCCTTCAGTGAGTCCTCAAAGCTCACTGTACATGTCAGAACACACACAGGAGAGAAACCCTATAAATGTAAGGAATGTGGGAAGGCCTACAATTGTCCCTCCTCCCTAAGTATCCATATGAGAAAACACACTGGAGAGAAACCCTATGAGTGTCTGGAATGTGGAAAGGCCTTCTATCTTCTCACTTCCCTTAATACACATGTGAAAAATCAAAGTAGAGAGAAACCCTATGAGTGTAAGGAATGTGGAAAAGCCTTTAGCTGTCCCTCATCCTTTAGGGCGCACGTGAGAGATCACACTGGAAAGATACAATACGAATGCAAGGAATGTGGGAAGGCCTTTAGCCGCTCCTCATCCCTCACAGAACACCTGAGGACGCACAGTGGGGAGAAGCCTTATGAATGTAAGGAATGTGGGAAAGCCTTTATTAGTTCCTCCCACCTTACAGTACATGTCAGAACTCACACTGGAGAGAAACCTTACGAATGTAAGAAATGTGGAAAAGCCTTTATTTATCCTTCAGCTCTTAGGATTCACATGAGGACACACACTGGGGAGAAACCCTATGAATGTAAGGAATGTGGGAAGGCCTTTCGCCATTCTTCATACCTTACTGTACATGCCCGGATGCACACTGGGGAGAAGCCGTTTGAGTGTCTGGAATGTGGGAAAGCCTTCAGCTGTCCCTCATCCTTTCGAAGACATGTAAGAAGCCACACTGGAGAGAAACCCTATGAATGTGAGGAATGTGGGAAAGCCTTTGTTTGTCCTGCCTACTTTCGAAGACATGTGAAAACTCACACTAGAGAAAGCACATAGGTGTACGGAATGGCAACGTCTGCAGGGTATTCCAAATCTCAGGCGGCATGTGAGATCATACACTGCGAGGACACCCTATGACTGCGGGAAAGTGGGACATTGTCGCTCATGTTTTTGAAGACGTTTGAGAACTCACAACTGGGAGAAACCCTTTGTATGTAAACCATGTGGTGATGCCTTCATGATATCACTTATAAGTCAAAATCATAATAAGTGTACAAGAAAATTCACACTGGAAGCAAAGATCAGTGCCCCACCCTTAAAGTGAAGTATTGATGCATTGATTTCTGGTTTTTATTTCCTGATATGAATATTTAAGGTGATAAATTTCCCTCTAATTCTTTTGAGCTCTAATAGGTTGTATTCTGAGGTGCTTTTATTTTGGTTCAGATGCAATTGTTATTTCCATTACGAAGTCTTGGAGTGTGTTTTTCTATATGCAAGCAGGAGCGGTCCTTTTTTATTAGTTTCTGATTAACTCTCACTGCTCTCTAAGTGTGCAGTAATTATGGTATGGACACTTTGGTATTCGTAATTTCTTTTATAATTTGTAATCAACTTTAGAGAGAGATAGGAAGGGGAGGGGGGGAGAGAGAATGAGACATCAATTTGTTGTTCCACTTATTTATGCATTTCTAGGTTGATTCTTATATGTACCCTGACCAGGGATCGAACCTGCAACCTTGGCATATCAGGACAATGCTCTAATCAACTGAGCTACCTAGCCAGTGCCCTCTTTTATAATTTTCTTTTGTAATTGGTAACTTCATTTTGATCTAGTATGGCAGATACTAGAAATTGCCTACTTAATATTTTCCCTCTTTTTTTTTTTTTTTTTTACTAAGAAACTACAATTTTGAAGTTAATCAGTTTTTACTATTCAAATCTTTTGCTGTCTAATAAGTGATTTCAGGAGAAATTAATAGGTGCAAAGGTCTTAAAAGAAGTGTCTAACCTGTTACGTTGTTTTTGTATTTTGTTCTTTGTTCTTGCTCATGGCTGGGAATTGGACCTGATGTTTTCAGAGTAAAAAGAGACCCTGTAACAAGAAAGCTAGAAGTAAAGTTGGGTGGACTGGCTTCTGTGTGTTAATTTGGGCATGTCTAGACCCCATTACCCAGAATCAATTCCTTACTCAGTTCCAGGTTAGAGTTGTCTAAAATCAACATTTTGTATGTGAATTGGAAGGCAGAGGAGAGAATCTCTTATTTTTAGTTTAGTGAGGCCATGAGACAGGGAGACAGATGCATAGTGACTGATGGGCTCTAGTTTCCGGCTCATTTTCCTGATTATTTGCCCCAGCAATTAATATTGGCTCAAACGGAACATTCAGTGCTTGACTTAAGTTACCTTGGAAGCAGCAGTTCCACAGGCATCTCTGTAAGTTTCTCCCTCATGGCCATTCACAGCCTCTTAGGTTTTTGGAAAGTTTTAGCGTTGCTGATATTATAGTCCCTCTGGCACATCAACTGACTACACAGAGTTGGCCCCAGTTTGGAGCAGGACTGCTGTCATGTCCGTAGTCCAGTTCCATTATGCTGCTCTGCTCAAGGAGGAAGTGCATCCATGTAAATTCACAGTGGTCTCAGAACAAGGGGAGCTGTGGACAGTGAGGAAAATTAGGTATAATTGAAATAAGCATCAGATTGGGTGTCATCTCATTTTAGCGGAAGAAGATTTATATTTGACACCTTCAAACAAGGACAATTTTATCACTTTTTTTTTTTTTATCTTGAGAAGATGAAAGTTGTTTGGTTTGTGCTTCAAGTGCATTTACCGAACTTTCTCCTTCCATTGTATTTTCCCTTTATCTGTAAGAGTATAGTTCTGTGCCACATACGGCATTTCAGTCAACAGTGGGTGGCATATTTGATGGTGATCCTGTAAGGTTATAATCGAGTGGAAAAATTTTTATTGCCTGTACGTTCTGTGGTGTTTGCACAGTGATGAAATTGGCTAATGATGCATTTCTCAGAATGTACCCCAGTTGTTGGGTGGTGCAGCACTATGTACTGTACCACTTTCCCTTAATCACTTCTTTATCATTTTATGAAGGCTACACACTACACACTAATGTACATGAAGTGTGCTAATCTGAAGTGTACAGCTTGATGAAATTTCACATAATGTTTACATCCTGATAAACAGAACGCTGCCAGGACTCCTGAAAGTTCATTCGTCTACCTTCTCAATAATTGCTCCACAGAGCAAGCACAATTTTGACTTTTATTACAGTTTATTAAGATTGCTTGTTATTGATTTTTATATAAATGTTAAAATACAATATGTACGGTGATGTGTTTGGCTTCCTTTCTCTACATAATATCTGTTTGCCTTTTAATTGCCCTTTGGCAGATTTAACATATTTCTCTTGGTAAGTGCTTTATATGTGGGAATGAGATTAGTGAATCCAAGGGTAGATTTCATGGTTAGTTTTGGTAGGTATCCCACTTTTCCAAAAAGGTTGATCCCACCTATAATCCTAAAAGCAATACATGAAAATTCCAATTATTCCACATATCTGGTCAATACTTTCTAATTTTAGCCATTCAGCAGAAGATGTGGTAATATCTTGTTTTTGGTTTTAATTTGCATTTACCTGACATGTAATGATGTTGAGTACTTTTTTATGTGCTTGTTGGCTATTTGGATATCTTTTATTAGGGCATCTATTAAAGCATTTCACCACTTTTTTTAAATTTGAAGGGCTTCCTTCTGGTTATTTGCCCTTTATTATATGTATGTGTGTACCTGCATCATTACATACATACATATGCCATGTATTATATATTATATATGTTATAACATGTATATTATATATACGTCTACTGCAGAAAACTTTTCCCAGTCTCGGGCTTGTCTTTTCACTCTCCTCAGTTTGTTAGCTATAAAGGAAATTATTTGTTTTGATTACTGGAAAATCCTTGGCTATACCCGGCTTCAGGCATGGCTGGATCATGGGGCTAAAAACATATTATCTGGATGAATTCTGTTTCAGCGCCTTGGCTGTGCATCTTCCTGCACTAGCTGTTCTCCTTGGCAGGCTATCTCTCTTCTCAGTGGTCCCCAGAAGATTCAAGCTGCTTTCTTTCCAGGTTGAATTCTCAGGGAGAAGAGAGTGATGGTCTTTGGGACAATTCCAATATGATTATGGCAGTTTAATCTGATTGGCTTACTTGGCCATGATTTTCCCCAGGAATGTAATACTCTGATTTGTTTATGACTGGCTTTCATCCTCATCCAGAAACCAGAGTAGAGTCTGCACTTGCCTTCCCTTGTCACCATTTATTTGTATATTAATTTTAGAGTCTCTCATCAATTTTACAAAGAAATCTGAGGCTGTGCTTGGAAATTGCATTGATTTTATAGAATAACCTGAATAAAATTGACATCTTTACAATATTGAGTCTTCCAACTGATGAACATAATATAAGTGTACATTTACCCAGGTCATCTTTAATTTCTTTTAACAGTGTTTTGTAGTTTTAATTGTAGAGGTATTGAAAACCTTTAATTTATTTCTAGATATGTAGTATGTTTTGCTTTGTAAATATTTCTATTTATTTTCTTTTTGAATTTTTCAGGCTAGTACATAGGATTGCAATTTCTTTTTGTACGTTGATCTTTTATCCAGTGACATGTGTAAATTCAATTATTTATTCAAATATTTATGGCTTATTTTGGATTTTCTGTGTATACAATCCTGTCAATACCAATAAAATAAATTCTAAACTTTGTCTTTTCTTTTTCCTGCCTTATTGCTTTGCATCAATGAATAGAAATGAAAGTGAGCATCTTTGATTTGTTTTGCTCTTAGGGGAAAGTGTTTCATATTTCAACATTAAGTACAATAATAGCTGTAAGTTTTTTTAATGGTTCTAGTGGCATCTTTTAGGCAAGCACTAGATATCTTTTCAACCAACCACATCATATGGGCTCCCTGTGTTATGGAAGGAGTGTTAAAAGAAGGAGAAAATCCAGTCAATACAGTATGAGAGACCAAGATTGCTGTATCTTTGAGTGAAAACATATGGCACATTGTTATTATTATATAAGTGTTGATAGTTTGATTTAAACAAAATAAGGGTTATTGAGCGATTAGTCTGTGTCAGGCACTATTTGAAGCACTTTATAGCTGTAATACCTTTATTCTTCACAAAAAAACCTTTGAGATAGAGGCTGTCATTACCCACGTTTTACAGAGGAGGAACATGAGGCAGAGAAACAGCTTGCCGAAGGTCACACAGTGTGTAGGTAGCTAAATCTGCCTGCCTTCAGAATTCACGCTTTTGACAACCACATGTTATTAAAAAGAATAATTTGGGGAAATAATGTCTGTTGCACAGCAGCAAATGCTGACATTCTTTAGCTTCCATATCTAACTCAAAGTACAACTTATGAATAGTACCTTGTAATAGTTAACATTTTAAAACATTTACGCTGTGCCACAGACTCATGAATCCTCTTTTTGTTATATATGTTTCTTTACACAAAAACTTAAACTTTAAACAATTAATTGCAAAACTTAATTTTATGAACTGATTGCTTCTGATTTTCAGATAAACATCTTCCTGCAGTAAGCCTCTCATTTTGTTCTATCTTGTTTTTTCTTTGTTTTCATTTTTTAAATTCTGTAAAAAAAAAAAAAGCCACATAAAATTCACCCTCCCCACAAAGTCCAAGTGTACAGTACAGTGTCAATTGCAACAAGTCACTAGACTCCCTCACCCTGTCCTTTCTGACTGAGACCATACCCAACATCCCCTACCACCCCTCTCTCTCAGCCTCTGCTAACCATCATTCTACCTTCTGATTTGATGGGCTTATCTACCTTAGAGACCTCATATAAGTGGAATCATGCAGTATTTGTCTTTTTGTAACTTGGTTATTTCACTTAGCTTGTTCTCTAGGTTCATCCATGCTGTAGTATATGAAAGCATTTCCTATTTTAAGGCTCAGTAATACTCCATTTGTGTATACACAACAATTTCTTTTCCCATTCATCTGTCAATGGATGCTTAGGTTGTTTCTATCTTTTGGCTGTTGTGAATAATGCTACCATCAACATGGGTGTGCAAATATTTCTTCTTTAAGCCTCAGGTTCCTAACAGCAAATT